AAGCTTGCGACCAAGGAAGAAGTTGAAGTATGGGGAATCCCGCTGAGCACATTCGATGAGTTCCTTGAACGTGAGACACAGGCGCTTCATGAAACATACCACAAGGCAGCTTGAATGGCGCGAGCACCTGCAAATCTGTGAGCGGCTGATTTGATGGCATAAGAGACTGACTCCGTGAGAATGTGTTTGTCGATGATATTAAATCGTTGTTGCAATGATGATGATAGCAAACACGAGAAATTATAGCACCATCTAAAAATCTGCGTGAAGTAAATGTGTACTACTCTTACTCTGCTGAGCCATATATCTCTTGTCGGAAAAGACAGAAACCTGTTAGTTTGTATTGAATTGTGTGCAACACCTCGACTCTGCCGTTGTAGCTAGGAGGCCTTCTTTCTTATGGTACCCCAGTCCAAGTTATATAGATAATACTCAAAAGCCTGCCCACAGGCTGTCAACCGATCTGCGCCGTCACCGTCAAAACGCCCCCAAAATGCCACAAGCTTCCGTTAAACCCTAGTTGAGCGTGTATTGCCAAGAATGTCGTAAGTCTCAGCCCATTTGACTAAGAAAATATGATTACCCAGCACAGGAAAAGATCACTGTGCTACTCCGATAGCTCCTGGAGCTTCACGTTGACTCGCGCCCACTTCGACGATGTGGGTGGCGCTCTTACTGTTCAGATCGTGTGGTAGGCCAGGCTCCTCAGTACCTGGAGTGGTGTCGCCTGTCGCGTTCTCCTGATGTGTGTAGCTTCTATTGCCACCAGCCGAACTTCCTGCAGCACTGCTTGATTCGCCAATGCCTCCTACTGCCCAGTCCCCTCGAGATTGCCGCGCCGAGGCCGAGGCTGGATAAATCCCGCCAGAGTCATATAGAGTGCTTCCTCTCATTGCTGGGTTTTGTGGCCACCCCAAAGGCATACTAGACACCCGACGATGTTGCCCCTGACTTTGGTTGGTAACGCCGGCAGGCACATCGTTTACAACAGGGCTGTTGGTGTTTTCTTGGGAGCTGCCATTGCTTGATGTCGCAAAGACCGCAGCATTCTTTTCGTTGATGTCCTTCTTGTCCTTCTTATGTCTAAATGCCGCGGCTGCGCCCCCACCAGCAGCCAAAGCGGCAACGGCAGCAGCGGCTGAGGATCCAAAACTCCGAAACTGATCGATGGGGCCAGTGTCTGACGTTTCGTCAAAGAATATCCAGAACATACCAGCGAGTAGGCCGGCGAGAATCAAAATTGTAATAATGGCAGCACCAGCCTTATCACCGGCAGGCAAAGGTTTATAATCCAAGTCCGGGGTCGTTCGCCCAACATCTTCGGCACCACCGCCAGGATTGGCTTTGCTTGTTCCTCCGGTGTCCTTCGTTAACGGGGCGGGTCGATCCTGGATCATGCAGGCAAGAGTAACTTCCAATGCGGCCATTTGTTGACCAATGGTGACCTCGCCCTCAAACTTGTCCTTGGTCCAGTAGAGACTACACATTCGATTGTTATCACCCCCCGTGCACTTGTCCGTGGCTGCAACAGCGGAAGCACGCAAAAGGGGCATGATGGTCTCGCGAGTGTGGGGTGCCCATTGTGTGGTGACAGCAAGCCAGCGGCTCAGATATGCCTTGAAAGACTTCTGGTCGAGGTTGCAGAGTTTCACGGGTTCACAGGCTACCTCTGTCATTATGTTCTTTTCAGGCCCCGAGAAAAAGACTTTGGCACCCACGAGAAGGTTGTCGAGGCGATCCTTCCAAACCTGGCTTTCGGTAAAGTTGTACATGGCAGCGGCGCCGAGAATCATACCACCCGCGTTGTAAGAGAATTGATAGGGAACGAGTTTCGTGCAGTTGTTGCCGATATGAGCACCGTCATAAACGTACCAGCTCTTAGGGTCAATAAACTCGACTGCCTCCATCCAGTCCCATGTTCTATCTGCCCAGTCGGCATAACTGCTATTGCCAGTGAAGAGAGCAAGGCGGGCACCTAGAGCAAAGAAACAAGCCTGAGAAATCGAATTCTTGTAGTCGTAACCCCTATTCCACTGCATTCGGTTGTTAGCCCATTAATATCAATTTCGACTGATGATAAAGGTTTGACGCTAGGCACCTGGAGGACGCCACGAAGATTTGACAGGTGATGATGGCGCAAGTCCGAAACTACACCTAATTGAATCACTAACCTGAAAGATTTGCCATCTCAAGCCGCCATTGCAATGCTCTGTATCCCAACGAGCTGCCTGGGTATTGAAGACGGCTTGTGCAAGTCCAAGCCATTGTGGTTGGTCTTCTGCAGGGTGGGGGAAGTTATACTCGGCAGCCGACATGACAGTAAGTCCCCAGAATCCCTGGTCATCGTTTCCTTCGGTTCTTGTCTGGTTAATAGGCATATAATCGTCATGATCGCCGACCTGGAAAAGAAGTGCCTGTTTGGTGATTTCGACATATTGAGAATCGCCAGTGTATGCCCAGTAATCGACGAGTGTTCCCATAAAGGCGCCAGCGTACCACCCTGGCGGGAAGTGTTAGTATCGACAGATGGAGCAATGCCGACTTGGGGAGTGCATTCGTACAGTAATAAGGATCAGGTAGTAGACCTGGTGTTTGTCCGGGTTCGTCGCCATGATACATGCCAACCATATCCTTGGCGATTGATTTGGCAATCGACTTAATCGAACCTGAATTGAGTTTCTACGTCAGAATGCGCGGTATCGGGAGGACAAAGCACCAAGCAAGCGGCTGGGCGACTGTTTCACGGTGTAACTCACTCGTCGAATTAGGATCCAGTTGGTAGGCCAAGGAAAAGCGATTGAGCGTCAGTAGCAGGGCAGCTATGATGCCGCCTGCACCGAGCCTTGGCTCTGATCTCGATGTTGACGGGAAGCGCATGTCGACGATGAGGCGAGAGCGACGATGAGCTCAAAGACGACAAGGATGATACGTGTCGAGCTTCATGAGGATGCAAAGATAGAAAGAGAAAGAAACGAGCGAAAGGATGACGATGAGAAGTGGAGAGAGACAGAGAGAGAGAGAGAGAGAGAGAGAGAGACAGGCGTGGGCGGAGGTTACCTGCGAATGAATGAGTGAGTGACTGAACGCCCTGGATACGGGGATTGGGATGGCAGCCCGGGTGGCTAGGAACCTAAGAATGGAAGGAACCTCGACAAAGAAGCAGGGGTTAGGCATTACCTTACGTAGAAGCGGGATTACCTTAAGGTAGAGCTAAAGCCAGTTTAGGTGCACAAGTTACCTACTAACTTTTTTACCTCAGTTTATTATAAGGTCACAAAGGATGGAAACTTTAAAAGTTGGAGGTCGGGCATTCAGTGCAAGAATTGGTCAAGGACAACTGGATCAATCGGGTGCTGACAGAAGAATATCGGGAGATGGATGATATGATATATTCGCCATTTATTGGATGCTTGTACACGAGGTCGAGCAAATGGCAGTAAATTACCCTCGTGTAGCATTTCAAGTACATCTTGGGCCTAGGTACAGAGCACAGCACCTCCAATTAATCATAAAAGTAACCTTTTTTCCTTCCGTAAGCGGGAGCCATTCAAAAAGTCCCATCCAATCCTCAAATAGCCCGGGCATAGCCATGGAGATACGAGGAGGAAATGTCACTGACTAACTGCTCTTTGATAACATTTGAATGTTTCACCCCTCGAAACATCGTTAGATGAATGCATACCACTCACTCATTCAACTCGTGTCGGCCACCTCGGACATACATGCCATCCAACTGCATCATTGCTAGCAGCTCACAGCTGAATAATCCCCCTCCGACCCGCCATCTCCAGGTCCAAGCTAGCCTCTTATGCGTAGAGATTTGCCAATACGAGCAGGCGAGGACCTGGAACGGCCGCCCCAAACTCCACCCTCTGCACGCTCTAAGGCTCCGTCGATACGGCCGAGCTAGCGTGAGGGATCCAGATGTGATGTGCCAAACCCAGACGGGCCAAGTCCAGTTTGTATCTGATGAATGGTATGGTATGTACGGAGTTGCCTCTTGAAAATGAACATCACAATGTGAAGAGCAAGTCTCGGTAGCACGGCAAGCCAAGAATATGGGTGATATGAGGGGTTTTGTGGTTGACCCAGTAAATTTATACAACAGTCCAGGTTATAAGACAAGATTTTGGGGCCAAGCCCATCGCTTGATTACGCTCAGTAAATGACAGAACATCCATCCCTGGCCGGCCATTGCTCATCAGCTGACATCTGTAATCGAGATTCTCGTGTTCACCTTGATATCCCACTTCATCATCATCATGTTGATATGACCTGCATGGGACTTTGGCATGGCCTATCCAACGCACTTTTGGCCCCATAGAAGAGCTTGCATAAAACATCTAGGAGTGGTCAAGTCGGTAGTCGATTGATCCATCTCTCTTTTGTTTTAAGGGTTTATTTGTCGATTCTCCGTAAACCGGCCGAGTCTGACGAACCTTGGACCCATCGCAGACCAGGTCAATCCATGGGAGCATTGATATTGACTATTTCTAAGGTTCCAGACTTTCGAAAACAGGCATTTTGGCGTTTGTGGCACCAACCATTAAAACACTTGTTCCCCGGAAATGGTCGATTCTGATACTAATCAGCGGTTCCGTCTTTGTTCATAGCCATCCATAGCGAACTGAATAAAACACCACATAGTGGTTCATATCGCAAACACACTCTTTTAGTCCAGCGGTGTTCCCCCCGTTACACTAACCGCAAACTCCTCCTTTTTGTTCAACTTTCATATAGACGCCAGTGTTACCAGTTGTCTCATGTTTAAGGCACAACTGGTATTGCTTGCTGCACGATCTTCTCCCCCTTCTCCCGCCCAAAGGCAATTGTGATGTGTTGCCTTATTCTATTAATCATTTTGAGTCTGAAGCTAACTCCATTGCTGGTTTCTCGTTCAGGGGTATCTTATTCAAGAAACTTCTGAGCCAGTCGTTTGCCCGACAAGCCACTTCTGGTCATTTATGCTGAACATTCATTCTATCAGTGAATGCCCTGTCTCACAACCTGTCCCAAGTATTATCATCAGACTCTACTGGTTCATCCTCGTTTGAGTCGCCTGCATTTGTAAACTCCCGAAACAGTGCAATATCCTCAAACCTGCCAGACAGGCTCTCTACACTTGCTTCTTCAGGATCCGTCATGGCAAGATTCAAATCAGCCATGAAAGTCGCCCGTATATCTTCCGACGGACTAGTCAGCCTATTCTCCTCAAACTGTACCATTAGTCTTCGTGCTTCGTCTGTGGATAGATCGCCTTGCTGAAGCGCCATGGACAATATGCTGCGACCGATCGTTTCGGCAAACCGGAATGCTCGTCGTAGTTCTCCGTAGCTTTCGACACAAAAGAATAGGTAGAAGCGCCAGGCAGGATCCTTTGTATCTCCAAGAATCGCATTGGCGATGTGGATCAGAGCAGTATGCCATAACATCGTGTAAGATGAACATGCATATTGTTCTCGGTACATCACCACAAGACGCTTGAGCTGATTCGCGGATGCCTTGTATGCGGCATCAGGCGAGCTGCGTCTGCAGGGAAATGTTTTCAGTCGCAGTGGTTTCGGTGAATCCCTCGCACGAACTGTAAATGGGCGAAGGACACACAGAATAGCGACATGGAGCCAGATACTGCCATTCGATTAGCTTTAACAAAAGAAGGACTATAATTGGGAAGAGGCGAGAAAGTCGAAACGTACTGAAAGACCAAAACATGATGCGGACTCCGCTCTGAACGCACCATAGATGGAGGCAGTGTTTCTGCCCAAGCTATCAACTCTCGATATTTGTATTCCGCAAAGGCGAGTGTAATGTGACTGTTGAGGCTTTCGCACGGTAGAGGCTGATCACGATAGTATTTCAATGTCACTTCGTGCATTATTCTCCAAAATCGACATATAATCGGAAACGTGCCTCCCATGTACGCCTGCTTAGGTCTCTGCTGATGAGCCCCGGGGCTGGGATCAGAAGGGTCATTCCATTCATGTCCTGGTATTGGGACTATAGGGGGGTGCTCGGGATACGAGAGGCCAGGTTGTTGATAGAACAAAGCCATAAGCCTGAGGACGTTAACATCACATCTTGTCTGAGATCTTGACTTCCTGAACCCACACTATCCAGTTAAAAGCCCCCCAGGCCGCATACGATGTCGCGCTTTGTAGCTCGGGGCTCACTTGCTTTGCTTTCGAAATCGCAACGCTTTGCTCGACGCCAAAAAGCCCCATGCGAGCCCCCATGGCGTTCACTTCAGATACATACGTCAAGACGTAGTGATCTTTTCCATTACCCAGATATGCTAAGCCCAGAAGTTGTGTTGCAGCAAGATTCAGCAGAGAATCTGTCGCCTTTTCAAGGGACCAGCGTTTCTCGGCCTCTTCACAAAACCGTGGTATGAGTGACTGAACAGTAGAGTCGACTGCACTGTACATTTGCTGTTGTTGTCTCAGCGAGGCTAATCGAACACCACACTCCTTCCAGACCACTTACACAGCTCCAGTACATAATGGTACTGACCAGTAGTTTACTGCAGTGTTTGGTTCGACAATGGACCAGATCTTCCATAAACAGGGTAGGATCAAAGGGGCCCAATAAAGGGTGGTCAGTCTCCAGATATAGTGATATGACCTTTGCTGCCAAGTCGGAGGCGATTGGTACAGAGGTCCAAAACCCAATATTCAGTTCTTCTAGTCGTTTGTCACATGAGCTTAGGGTGGGTGCTGGGCTCTGGGTAGGATCATGGGCTGGGAACGGGTTCGGGTCACTGTTGGTGATTGGGGTAGTTTTGTCGGTTTGCGTGCTCGATGATGTCCGGCTGACGCTGAAGACTTTCCTTTTAAACGTCAGCAAAAGTTGGTCATAACACGGCTTTGTCGCCGGATAGCGAATGGTGAGGCTTTTCACATCCAGTCAGCTTACTTCAAGATACTAGATTCAAGGGGTTGGAGCGCTGGAAATGCGAGAGAATTTCTTGCCATGAGCTCAGCTTCAAGGCCCAGGTGCCGAGGGTGCTCAGGGGAGCGTTCATGGTCATTAATGTTCTTTGTTATCCGCGGTTGGATTATCGACACGGCTGTATCGAGATCTGCGTGGCTTCGCACGACTCGTAGAACATCGATGGCCTGCGCCTCGGGTACTGTCTTCAATATATCAAACAGCCCCAGAATCTGCTCTGTTTCCTTACTCGTCTGGCCCGGACTCCGAGTCTCGGCATAGGTGCATGGTTCCTTTTCGCCACGTCGTCGACAAGCCTCGCACATGGGCTTTCTTCCATCGCACTATTTGACAAATCGTGTTAAAAGGGACAAATTGGTTGGCACTTTTCCTGACAAGCTTACACGAATCTTCCTCTTACGGCACGAGTCGCATGCTAGTTGTGTTCCGATTCGTTGTCGCTTCAAAGGTTCGTCGCTGGAGGACCGTGGAGTCGAGGAAGATCCAGATGGGTGCGAGTTGGGGGGCGAGTTTTCGTTGGGAGGGATAGGGAGTAGCTGGCGATATCTCTTGGACATTACTTGGACTCGTGATACTGCTTGCAAGGGGACGTTCAAAAAAAGTAAGTACCTAGTGTATCACAGTTGACTGGAAGCAAGGGATCAGACAAGGTATTCGGTGACAAGTAATATCTGCGTTGCATGGGTCTCCTTTCACGTGTTTCATTATCCAAATGAGTGAAGATTGGAAGTGATGTCAAGTAGTTAAGGGATGCGTGCACACAAATAAACGAGACTTCTCGATCGAGGTGTGTATCTCTCACCCTATCAACTCAACGCTGCTGCGTACAACCAGCTTCCCAAACAATCTGCCAATGATCAGAGTCCCATATACCATATTCGTACAATTGCACTGTAGCTGGATTCAAATGTGGAGGGACAAGATCGAGTTCGGAGGGGGATCCGGCTCAAATGATTGGCTGTAGCTCACGAACCAAAGTTGCATTAATAAGGGTGAGCTTGACGAAATAATCATACCTTGTTGTGTCTAATCCAATATCACGGCACCTAAACATACATCCATACATACATCCATACATACATCCATACATAGGGTGACGTATAATTCCGTGACAGATACACCTACTACCTAATTTACCTATTGTTGATGACTTGAAGTTCTGAGTCGCCTTGAGAATGAGTCATATAGTGTGTAGATGTCTGTTTTGTTGACCTTCAAATCCTTCTCCCCTTCTCGCGTCTTCCACAAAATCAGTTAAGCATCCGCTTGTGTTACATCAGCCAGATCGAAATCGACATTTCGATCGAATCCTGTCATCTGGACGACCCCTGTCGTTGGTTTCGTTAGCTGCATGCTTCTAGAATCCCGGAAGCCTCTTCCATCATCATGATGACAGAATGACCACTTCTCTCATATTTATACCCTTATATCCATGCTCAATTATCTCAGCGTTTCAATAAGCTCTACTAAATTAAGAATGTTTTCCTTTCGGCAAATCATGCTTTAAGGATGCTTGCCGTTCAGTCCTATTCGTGGCTATGGGCAGATTAGGTGTGATTGTAGATCGAGTGACAGAACATGGATAACGTCGTCTATGCCTTTTCACTTCATATGGGCAACATAGTGAGACGTAGTCAACAAAAGATAGAGTACTGATAGCAGCTATCTACCCCTTGTTTCAAGTTTACTGATATTCATTGCTGTTGATGCTGGGTGAGGCTCATTGTAGTCTCTCGTTGGCAACATTTTGAAAGCCATGTGTGAAGCATCCAACACAGACCTCAAGGTTTCGTGTTAATACAACGAAAAAGTCTCCATAGACGACTTTCAGCAACTACTCTGAAAATATACGACCGTCATTATTCTAGTTGCGATACCTATGTCAGTCCAGGACACCTTGAGTACTAATATATATCTCTATTGCGTGGCCTATCAGACCAATCTACGGCTACTTGATATTGCATATTTCAGCAACAATAAAAATGATACCAGCTGCTGTGTTGCAGAAAGTCTTTCTGGTGAAACCCTAAGCACTAATACAAATTACCTATCCCTTCCTCGTTCATGTGTTTCCAAGTGCATGAATGGGCTGTTTGAGGGGGTACCCGAATGTGGATGTCTGACCTACACTCAAATTGAATCGGATGTGGCGCTGTTGCTGAGGTGAGCCGTGGCTGATGGTGGCTGTCAATGGATGCGAATACGGGCAGCGTCTCCGCGCTTACTGAAAAGGGACGAGTTGGGTTACAGCATCACATGAGTCTGTCATCACCAGTTCCATCGGTAACCTTTTTAGGCATTGCATGCCGCGACTCAAAGCAACAGGAGGAACGTATTACTGCGCGAATACTTTACAGTGCAACTCTCCCGGTAAGCGTGAACAATGAATTGTACGCCTTTCCAGTAGGACAGGTCAGGACATTTACGACCTACAGCACTTTTTGTAGGCAGACTAGGTGCTCCAAGGCGTCTAGGTATTGACTGTCATGGCCAAAAATAGAACAACAAAATGAACGAACTACATAGTAACCAACAGTTGATGAACCCCGATAAACTGAAAGGACAAAGACTATTAATTGCCAAAGCCTAAGTTAGTTAGGTATCCGTAGGCCTTCGAATCATGTAGAAGTACCTGGTCCCGACGTCAATCGCCCACGTTAAAGCAATCGCAGCCCATCTGAAGCCTGCCCCGAGCCCCCCGGGGCCTCGTCACCCAGCAGCGCCCCAAAACCAGCTCCGCCCTTGGTTCACCCGCAACCTGGTCACTCACTACTTGTTTCGCCTGGGCCAGCGCAACGTCTCATAATCAACTTCCCTCTTCCAACCTCTCGCTACGCCAACCTCCTCTTTTCGAATATCACAACGACACGACACGATAGCACCGTAATCCCGACCTCGCCCTCCTGCACTTTCCAACCTTTCGCGCTATTCCGACCGATACCCTTTTGTTATTTCCTAGCGACTTGAACATCTCCAAACCACAGTCAAAATGCCTGAGCAGGAAGCCCCCTACGACCCTTACATCCCCAGTGGCCAGGCTGGAGCCCAACAACAGGGTGCTGGCGGCAATGCCAGAACGCAGGCGCTACAAGCTGTAAGTTTGTCTTGATGATTTTCGTGATGCGCTGGTGTTTTTCGGATGATTTTGGGTTGCGACACTTGGCGACGAGGCTGTCTGATGATGGACGATGGATGACGCCTCCTTTTGGTGATTGGCAAACGATTTGCGATAGATTCGCGATTTCTCGAAGAGCCAGCAACCGGCCACCGGCAAATCATGCGATAATAGCCTGGGAGTAATTACGCAGCATCATGCTCTCCGTTCCGAGCAACCCGATCAAACGCCACTTGCCTCAGTGTGCCAATGTTTGATGAGCTTTCGCAACATTCTTGTCGTCTTGCCGTCAGGCGACGCCAGTGTCCAACCCACGTCGCACCTCAACATCACCAGCACTGCAATGCCTCTAGTGTTGGATATGAACTAATGCAGTCGGCAGCAAATTGATGATACCGTGGGTGTGATGCGTGACAACATCAACAAGGTTTCTCAGCGTGGTGAGCGCCTCGATGCTCTTCAGGATAAGACCGACAACTTGGCCGTCTCGGCACAAGGTTTCCGTCGAGGAGCCAACAGAGTCCGCAAGCAGATGTGGTGGAAGGATATGAAGATGCGAATGTGTCTGATTATCGGTATCATCATTCTACTGGTCATCATCATTGTCCCCTCTGGTATGTCGTCGATCTGTCAAAGATGTGTTGTTGAAGAACTTGCTAACCCTCCTAGTTGTGGCTACTCGTTAATAGCCCAATCATCTGTTTGGGTACCACTTGGTCCTTACGATACACACGCTGGGACATGACGACATCGAATATCGCAAGCTACGGCCATGGGAAATGGAACTTTTGGGCAACCGGCCATTATTGCAATGGAATATGATTTGAGCACGATGGAGTTTGTTCACGTTGGGTCCCGGTCAATGTTACGCAGGCAGTTTTCGCTCCTGGGGTGACTTACTGATGACGAGGTCTCAGTATCGCTCCTGGAACTTCAGACCGGGCTGGATGTTTGAGATTAGGCGTTCCCCGATTAATTGAGATGTATACCTTTCTGCGGATCTTTGTCATCAAACCGGCTCCTCGTATTGCGTCATTGGTCGCAACGAAGCGGCAGTCTGCTTGCCAGACTGAAGATAGGAATGGCGAGTAACGGTTCATGATTTCTGAGGGCAGAAGATCGGGGTCAGCTCTCTAATTCTTACAGTATTCCCTCTTGTTAGTCCACCTCTTTAATAGGAGAATCCTATCGCACGATGAAGGTTCCAGTTTCGTAGAAACCCATGGTGATTGCAAAACTTTTCGAAGACGTGGGTAGCCGGTATTTGGATGAACTAGACTAGCCATGCCTCGAACAATAGTTGCTCCGAAAGTGGAACCTATCTGCACATATGGCATCTTGTCCGTTGAGGATGAACGAAAGAGAACCCTTACAGGGTCATAATTCGACGTACCTGAACCATGGGGTCCTCTGTTGGCGTCATTTGGTTGTGGGCTTCTTCTGTAGGTGCAAGGGTATTGTGGGTAGGAGGAGATTGATAACGCCGACTGATTGATAATGCCTCATCACCATCTGAATTTTTTTTAGGGGGGGGGATCAGGGAATGTAGCCGTGTTGCTGGACCTCGGTGAGTTTGCCTTGGTAGAAAGATCTGCAGCGGATGAATGGGACAATTTTACCATTGCTGCTTCACTGTAGATATTTCAATGCAAAGATGAACAAATGATGTCAAATTTAAGGCAAAGATTGATTACTCGTCCATACTTGCAGGCCACAATAGATGAGACGGTTCGAACATGGTATTTTTCATGATGGAGCTTGATGGGAAAAATTTCTATCATGATGCAACGGAGACCTCGACCCCGGTCAGCTAAGGGTCTGCAAGCGGTGTCGGATCGATGGTGGATGGTCAGAGATGATGACTCCAAGGAATATGCGAGTTGAGCTTTGGAGAGATTGCAAGTTACAATAACAGAACTATCAAAGACCATTGCCTCGACTTCTAACACGGTTATACGAGCGTAGAATAATTGTGCGTAACGCAGCTGGTTACACATGAAGAAATCTTGACGGCCCTGCCGTTGCCCCTCCCGTCATTGGAGGTGACCCCAGGTTCCTAGGTACCCTAGTACCTTGAGCTCCTTACACCTTTTTACCTTAGTCTCCACTGACTCACCCGGGCCTTATCTTGCCGTGTGGGCCTCTCGATCTAATCTCTAAAAGAGTCAACAGTCCTCGTCCTCTCTTCCTCATCCCTCCCCTCTGTCCATTGCACGATCTCCCTACCATCGTCGAGTCAATTGGCTTAAACAAGATGTTTTCCGCCACTTCTGGAGCTTTCCGGGCTGGTGCCCGACGAGTCGCTCCCCGCGTCGCTTGCTCCAATGCCAAGACTGCCGCTCCGACTGCGCTCCGATCCATCAACACCAACCGAGCCCTCTCAACAACCAAGGCCCTCACTTCTTTGCCTGGCCGCGATAGGACCCGGGAGATTGTTGCGCAGACCATCAATAGCATTGGCAGCAGGAGGGAGGGTGAGCAGTACCTGAAGCTCTTCACCTCGGTTGAGTCCCAGAAGTTTGCCGTCATCAAGGTTGGCGGTGCCATTCTTTCCGATTACTTGGACGAGCTCTGCCGAAGCCTCGCGTTCTTGACAGAAATGGATCTATACCCAGTGATAATTCATGGTGCTGGCCCTCAAATGAATTCTTTGCTCGAAGTATGATTACGACTGCTTTCAGTTGGCCAACATTATACTGACACGAAATTCACAGAGGGCTGGGGTTGAGCCCCAGTTCGAAGAAGGTATCCGAGTTACTGACGCCAAGACCTTGGGTATTGCTCGCAAGCTTTTCCTTGAAGAGAACTTGAAGCTTATTAACCGACTGGATGAGCTCGGTGTTGCAACGCGATCGATCAGCGGTGCTTTTGTAGCCGATTATCTTGATAAGGAGAAGTGGCAGTACGTTGGCAAGATCACCAAGGTCAATAAAGATGCTATTGAGAAGTCCATTGAGGCTGGCTATATCCCTGTCCTTACCTCAATGGCTGAATCTGAAGACGGCCATCTCCTTAATGTCAACGCTGATGTCGCTGCAGCCGAGCTTGCCCGGGCCCTTGAGCCCCTGAAGGTTGTTTATCTGTCAGAAAAGGGTGGACTGTATGATGGCGATGGCGAGAAGATTTCCTCTATCAACTTAGATGCCGAGTTCGACCATTTAATGTCTCAGCCCTGGTGCCGATACGGAACCCGACTCAAGATCAAAGAAATCAAAGAATGTCGGTAGGCCCAAGTGACATTGTGCAAACTTATAGCTGACCATCCCCAGTACTTGACACACTCCCCCGCAGCTCGTCTGTTGCTATCATCCACCCCAGCGATTTGCAAAAGGAACTGTTCACCGACTCTGGTGCTGGTACCCTCATTCGTCGAGGAGATAAGATCCAGCGAGTTTCGTCTGTCAATGAGATTGGAGATATTTCCAAGTTCAAGGAGACTCTGGCCCGCGACCGTCAGGGTCTTGATGCTGAGGCCACTGTCGAACGCTTTGTCGATCATCTCAAGGAGAAGAACTTCAATGCCTACTACGACGATGGAATGCAGTGTCTAGCTGTCGTCCTGCCAGCCAATGAGGAGCGACCAATTGCTACACTGGCTACTTTGAATATCACCAAGGCTGGATGGCTCAGCAACGTCGCCGAGAACGTCTTTGCTGCCGTCAAGAAAGATCACCCTAGTTTGGTCTGGACTGTCAGCGAGGAGGATGAGAACCTAACTTGGTTCTTCGAGAAGGCTGACGGAACCTTCAACAAGAACGGCAATGTTCTTTTCTACTATGGATGTGAGCTCCGATCTGAAGCTCTGGTCCCTATCTACGAGGAGTTCAAGACACACGGCCGTGCTATGTTCGGCGACAACCTGGAATCTCGACTTCGAGATGCTGCCAAGACCACAAGTGAGACGTTAAACGCCTCCCAAAGCCGAACTTGATCAAGCTATCCAAACTATCTAGCTGCGATTCTTCAATATCTCGCAATTAAAATTCCCAATATAATATAAAACGGTTAAACATTTCACCTTCAGACCCTTATTGACGTAGGCCTTCTTCCTTATCGTGTAGCTTACATCAGAAGCGAAAGAGGAACAAGCGATGTTCACTCTGAGGCAGAAGGGCTATCAAAGAAGGACACAGCATCACACAAAACCAAACTGGACTATTCCTCAGGTTAGAAGTCTTTGTGGAGATAACTACAGTAAGTACTTGTATTTGAGTGTGGTTTGGAAGAATCTGAGAACTGCCTGGACTGTTGTTCATGTGGTAGCCACGAAATTGATGGTTACAATCACAAGCTGTGTTCATCATCGCCAGATACTCTTAACTATCACATCACATACCAATTCGAAATAGGAGACGTTCTGGGCCGTTGGTGTAACATGAAGTAAAGTGGTGCATCTAACGATGGCTTCTAAGCATAGCAATAACAAGAGAATGTGCATCGAAAACGGTATCAGGTCAGTTGAGTGATAGAAAAGCCTGCTGTCTTCCTATCGTCACTCTGTTAGCCACTAGTCCAAGTAAAACTTCACCAACAAGCAAGAGTTGAGTCCCTCAAGATGTTCCCCCAAAGACGTCTATGAGGCTGTACTTTATTGAGATTGAAGGCTTCTGAAGAGGGAGGGGGAGGAGCTCATATGCAGAAGATCTCAGACCAGAACTTGGAAACCCTTGTTTGTCGTGGATCTTTGAGCGAAGGGAACTGCTGAGCGAGACGCATCAATCAGTGAGTTGCCTTGTGTGAGGTCGGATACATGTCGTGACTTTGATTCTTTGGGTTCTCGAATTGCAAAGAGCAAGTACACGAGTAAGCTTGCTGAGGCTGCAACATTATCTGTATGTTGGAGAACCTCCAAAGGATAGCTGGAACTTCCACTCGTTTGTTTACTGCTGACCCCAAGCTCAAGATTCATCTAGCACTTCACTCCTTCATCCTGTTGAGCTTGCCACCAGAGGATGAAACCAACACCGAGAATTTATGCTGTAAAACCGTTCCTATAGTCGCGAAATAATATGTAGCAGAGTTCAATACAGAGTCGTTGCAGAAATCGTCATTTTATAAGGCGGCCTGGGCTGTGAAGCATCAAGCATCCTACTGGGTTGGCAACTGGCGGCAGCTGGCAGTATCTGAGTCTTGCGACAGCCCCTCGCCCGGCGTTCATTGTTGATTTGCGATGAATAGAAGAATCAATTCCACAATGGCGTTTATTTTTCTATTGTTGCAAGTTCATCGACATCGACGACTGATCACTAGGTATGCATAAATATCTGGGCTCACTTGGTATCTAAGGTACTCGCTGCAACGTGCATCCTCGTGGATCTTGAACCAACTTTCTCTCACTTGAGCACTTGAGTCATTTCGTCAGAGCGAGTTCTCTCCCATCCATAAGTTTATTTCAACCCCCTTCCACTGCCAACATCGGCTTCAGGTCGCCGAGGGAACACACCATGCCCACAGCCACTTCCGCACCTGAGGAACCCAAGGCGCCTGAGTCTCGACCCATGAGCCGTCTTGAAATAGGCCTCATCGTGGGAGTCAGTGCTCTCTTCATCACCTTGATCTTTTTCATCTTTCTCATCCGAGCCCTGGACCAACGCCGTCGCAAAAAGCTGCTGAGGAGAATGGCCGAGGATGCCAGAAACCGTACTCCCGAAGAGGAGATGTTGCGCCGCCGGCTGGCATGGCTTCAAGTTGAGCGTGAGTCAAAGTAGCATGATACAAGAGAAGGCTGCTGATGAACATGTCGACAGGCATCATGCAAAGCCTGCGCTGCGTATGGGTGGATAAAGACAACAACGCAACCGACTCACCCCCCGAAGCCGTTGAATTTCACCGGCGCAAGGGCCGTATCCCGTGCCAGAAGCCGCACATGCCGCAGTCGGAGCCACTGTCCAAGGAAGCGAACTAGTATACATGCATGTCTGATGCCAGTCGATTCAAACCTGTATCATCCATCCACCGCAAAAATGCGAACGTGGCAAAGCAGTCGAGATGTGACAAGACATGGATATGGATTGCAAAACGGGCGTAGACTAGGCAACTAGTTGATTGCAACCGATGTGGTATCGAACGTGCACATAAGGATGTTGCCCTCGAATGAAGAAGGATTGGGTTGCTTGCAGGACAGTGCAGGGTTATTATATCAAGGGTAAGGTTGCGGCTATGTACAACTCCACGCTATACGGATACTTACTTGCAGGGAGGTAATGACATGGAACGGACGGGTAGACTACCTTATTAGCTATCAGTCAGCCCAGGGCTAGGTTCCACAGTGATGATCGACAATGCATAGATATTTCGAGGCAGTATCCAGTTTGGAAGGGAAGCATTCAGGTTGTGTCAGCCAGTTATGAGCCTTCCTTTGCATAATATGTCACTCTCTTACTATCTTATCCCAAATGAAGGAAACCGTGTATAATTGATTACCTTATTTGCTGAAAACAACCAGTCACCCGCTAAACAAAACAGAAACGCTTGATTTTATACCAACTATAGGTATGCATACCTACTAAGAGAGGTAAAGTAGCGGATTGCCAAAACTGGACAAGCCAAACCCCAAATAGGTACCTACTGGATAAGGTACCTACCTCTATGGCGCGTCATCTACACAGTCACGTGATCACCTGTCAAGAAAGCTCCAGCAGCTAGCCCACAAGCCTTCCAACCGCCACATTCCGCGTTTCAAACCAATTCCTTCTACTTCAACACGCGATATCAAACATCATTTTGAGCTGAGGCCGACTTTGCCCTTGGCGTCCTAATGGCTTCGCGATCACCATCTCGCGGCCGTTACAGGTCGCGCACGCGCTCACCCGCTGCACGCTCTGAACGTTCTCGTTCACCCCAGCGCCGCCATCATCACGACTCACGGTCACCCGCCCGCTCCACATCACCCCAGCGTCGTAATGGCCGTTACAGATCTCGCAGCCGCACTCGAAGTCGTAGCAACAGCCGGAGTCGAAGCCGAAGTCGTAGCTGGAGCCGCGGGGCTCGCGACCGCAACGACAGAGATAGGAGTGCTTCCCCAGCCGCCAAGAGCACAAAGGTACGTCTTGAACAGTTATGGCCGGGTTGCGGAAACTGATTTAGTATGTCTAGATTGTTGTAGAGCGACTTTCCAAGAACATCAATGAGCAGCATCTTTATGAGATCTTTGGGCAGTTTGGACGCATCAAGGACCTTGATCTTCCCATAAACAGAACCTGTAAGATGACCGCCTCTCATCTATTTCGGACATCAGCTAATAACAGCTAAAGTTGGAACAAACCGTGGCACAGCATACATACTTTACGACTACGAGGACGATGCCGAGGCCGCGATAGCCCACATGCATGAAGCTCAGGTGGATGGATCCGCGATCAATGTGTCCATAGTGCTTCCCCGTCGCAAGCTTTCTCCTGCGCCTCCAACAGCTCGGCGTGGAGCCAACATTGATCCTAGAGTTCCGTTTGCGGGAGCACGTGGGGGGCCCCCTGGTGCAGGCATGGGAGGAAGTAACGGCATGGGTGGTGGTGTTGGAGGTGGAGGTCGCCGTCGAGCGTCTCCAGGAAGTCGGTACGGACCCAGGTCTGATGTGTATCGTCCAGGATCGCGTTCGCCTTCCAGATCGTCGGTTGGCCCCCCTCCTTCCCGTGGCGGTGGTGGAAGCCGATACCGCAGTCGATCCAACAACTCCTTTTCATCTAGATCACGCTCGAGATCTCCAGGTCCCCGGCGAAAAGCAACCGGCCGCCACGATGATCACGAGACAAGACGACGCGGGAGCATTGATAGTCGTGAAGGTCGAAGTCGATCTCGAGGACGCGGGCCAAAATGATTCAAAAGCTCTTTAGGTGTAATTAATTTGCTTCGATTGGCGTCACGAGAGGACAGGGAAAAAGGAACAGAATAAACAACGGCCCCAGGTTTTAATTAGCTCTCGGAAACAAGTTAGTCACTTGTATCTGTCTCCCGTCTGGCAAACTGACATCTGAACAGGTGAAGATGTACGTCTTACCACCAAGTTATGTTCGGCAACGAGGACCCTCAAGAATCCCGCCTATCAACTTTTTGGATCAGACCCAGGTTTGCTGCGTTCTGTCACGGCCAATCACTCGCCCATTATCCGAATTGTCTATCAATGTCCCAGTTCAATTCATGTACGTGATCTCGTTTTGGTTTCGGCGTTTCAGGACAATTGCCGCAGACGGGGCCAGCAAGGATTGCCCCCGATGCGTTCCCATGGATATGCACACAAGTCACAGATTTCGGAGCTGGGAAGTTGAGGATAGACTTTGAGTGCTACTGCTCCAGCCACTAGTTTCGAACGTATATCGACCATTCAGGGACCAGTCACTGGTCACTAGATCCCATCTACCATTTGTCACGATTCGCACCTCTCCCCGCTCGGCTAAGGCGACCTGGTGTGGGGATATAAGAGACCCCATGCTTAGTAGACTAAGTCATGGCGCAACTCGACCCTTCGCGATAGTTTGATCCAACCAGCACTCCCTTATGCACCGAAGCACGGCAACAGTGGGATCGTTTGAGTAATACCGCCCATAAGCAACATGGTCCATCGAGCCAGGACAGTCTGATACCAGGCCGGGGTCTTAGTCTTGCCCTCAGCGGCCTTCACCCACAACTGTGGCTTCTCCTATAGGGCTGAGGAGAGGCGGATCCTACGACGCCGCTCTTGCAAGCAAGATCCATGAATCGTGAACGACCAGGGTATTAGTTGGTCTTGAGCTTGGCTCGGGTCACCGTTTCAAGAGGGGCCGCTGTCAGACTGCACCACTCGCCATGCGACAGTCTGCCATGCCCTCCTACGCAGCCAAGTCGTGGCTCACAGTTGTCAAAGCGAGCTCGGTTTAAACATGCACCGAACACATAAAGTGCAGATGTTTGACACATAGCAGATCTGACACCACCAAGGGTGTCTTGACAGGCATGATGTTCACACATTCTCTCACACCATGCATATCGGTACAGTACTGGATAAGCTGTGCGTCACAGCGGTGACACCGCATCTAGGGTACAGTACACACCCCCTTGCGGGTTTTGTGACGAGATCCCATTCTGCACTGGTGTAAATCGAGGCCGTGGTAGCTTTAGGCACAGCCGCACATCGCATCACTCTCGGCGGCTATACATACTAGCATCGTGTATTCACCGTCAAGAGCATATCATACCCAGCATGTGATCCACTTGCATGGCGCCAATTACGAGATCCCGGGGCAGGGTACGGGTAAAGGCGCTGCCGGCTAGTCAAGCCAGGAGATTTTTCCCTAATCAGCTGGAAGCCTATAGAGGCAAGATTCTGAGGCCCGATAGACAACGCCTCGGCTTTTGCTGGGGTGTCGAGCCCCCTTTCTCACATTACTGCTTTAGGAGCCTTGCATATTCAGCATGGTACGACAGAGAAGGTGGTGTGTGGCGCATAGTGTCTGTTTCGAGGGCCATGGCAAGAGCCTGGAGAGCCTGGTAGACGGACAGCTGTCATAGGTCCGTATTCGAGTTTGGCAGCTGTCTCTGACATGGGTGCCGTGCGCGTTGCAGGGTTCAAGTCGGTTGTGCTACCGAGGACTTGTGGTCCGGCTGCGTTTTCTGTGTGATCACTCAGGCAATCTTTGCCTTTGAGGTCCCCTCGGCAGCCAAATTGGGACCCCACCGATCTCTTTAGGATGCTAGGTGTTCCTTTTGAGTTGACGCTATCATACATGGGTAGCCGGTTTCAGCTTGTATGAACCACGGGAGGTATATTGAGCTCAGAGCCTGAGAACGGCTTTACGCACATCATCAATGCTCTGGCATGCCTTCTTGGGTCTCTTTGTTGTTTCCCTACCCCCGGGTGTTCTCCCACGGGCACCTACCGCCTCCACCCTGCTATGAGGGGCATTCTCTAGAATATGAATAAATGACTATTGCTATGGATTCTGGTTGAGGCTCAAATCGCCGATGACAATATCGGTGGCTGTGCCATGGTCATACCGGTACTTATTTAGCGCATACTGAAATATCTACTTGCCTTCCCTACTCGGTCCCCGGGCCCTGAGGCTGGCTGGACCTACTCAGATACGTGGACTCCGCTCATCTGGGCAACATGTTCGCCGTGCAAATCCAATCCCCCTCACTGGTTTGACCACCTGATGGGCTCGGCACGAACGATGTGTTGCTGTGAGGCACGATGCTGGATACGACAATGATGATCCTTTGAGAAACAGCGAGAAAGCCACCGGGTTTTAAGGCCTGATCCTGGGGCGCGGGTGCGGGTGCGGGTCTAGATGCCGTCGACTACACCTTCCGCAGTTGATCGTGTAGGTCAACGTGGATATCTATCGTGAACCACCTTACACATTGATCTGACGAGCATACTACCCACCTGGCCAAGGTCGATGATGTGCCATGTCGTCCAAGGGCGAAACGTGAGCCTCATTAAGAGGATCGGTGTCGCACCGACTATCTGGAGATACTGGGGTGGCAGTAATGTCGAAGAATAGTATAACATAAACCACAAGCCTAAACTAAGACTATCTATCGGATACCATTTACCACTTTGACTAGTGTCTCTGGAGGGTCAGGACCCAGTGTGTCCTCTATTTCTCTATTTCTTGTCTTGATGCCTCTGAAGGTGCAGCCTTTTGAGTTCTCTCACATGTCCATGATGCCTCGGGCTCCTCCTCACCTCTATCTTGACCCTCACTTCCACACTTTGCGTGTGGCTCACTGCCCGATGTCTCTCGAATCGCAAGATCCAGACCCTCCGCCAACACCTCCAGGAGGGCCGCGTGTCCCTCCTCCTCAGCCAGACCCGCCGCCGTCTCCTCCTCATACATGGGAACTGTTCTGACCTTTGGGCGTTTCTAATAGCAATCTTTGTTACCTTGTGCCAGATTTCCTTTGTCGATCAAGCCTCTTTCCGCTCTCTTG